TTTGAATTTTTGCCGAATGTTGCCACTTTAGGGCCTTTTTCTGGCAATGCAGCGTTGCCCACATCGGGGAGGGTTGGGTTCGCTGGGTCAGTGGCCAAAGTACCCGTTAGTGGAGTCCCCGTTTGAGGGGCGCTGATTGCGTCTCTTGGTGGTCCCCAGACGTGGTGGTGAGAACACTCGGTGGTGAGTTTTGGGCGATGTGGGTAATGGTTTTCGAGCGCTGGCTGGCCCAGGAAGCGCAAAACCTCGCGGCGACCGCGTGTCCCCGAACCCGGTGGTGACCCAGAATTATTTCTTGGGGGAATCGGGGTCACCACCAGGTGTCTCACCACCTGGTTTGGAGACCGCCAAGTCTCTCCCTGGCCCCCCTTGATCGTCGCTTGGCGTCGTTCGGACGCGTGCATTCCTCACAGCGAGGCCGGCGCCAGACGATCAGGACCATCTTGGAGCACCATAGACCAAACGTAGGTATTGCGAAGGCCTTGCGGCCAGTGCCGCCGACCCTGAGAACGACGAAGATGAAACCGAGGGGGGGCAGGGGGAGGAGGATGAGTGGGAGGTGGAGGAAGGGTGGGGGAGGTGGATGAGGGAGGAGGAGGGGGGAAAAGGATGTGGAGGAGAAGCAAGAGGAGGAGAAGGAGGCAGAGGAGAGCAGAAGGAGGGGGAGCAGAGGGGGGGGGGGAGGAGGAGGAGTAGGAGTAGGAGGAGGAGGAGGAGGAGGAGGAGGAGGAGGAGGAGGAAGAGGAGGATGCCAGAGGCTTTCTTGGGTGGGACAGCCTGGGGCTCTCTTGAGGCCGTCTTGGGCCGTCAAGGGCTCCTCTTGCGCCGTCTCGAGGCACTCTTAGAGGCCTCCTGGGCAATTTGGGGCTCTCCTGGGCTGTCTTGGGGCAATCTTGGGGGCCCTTAGGCCGTCTTGGAGGCGTCTTGGACCGTCTTGGGGCCTTTTTCGGCCGTTAGGGGACCCTCTTGGGCTGTCTCCAGGCGATCTTGGGGGCCCGTGGGCCGTCTTGGCGCGTCGGGAAGCGGAAGAGACAAGAACACCGCAATGTGTCAAAAACGTATGGGATATTTATAAATTTTGCTTCTTGGGGCTCTCGTGGGAACGCTCCTGGAGGCGTCTTGGGGCGCTTTGCAGGCCTCTTGGACCGTCTGGAGGCCGTCAAGGCGTCTTAGACAGATCGTTCGGCGATTCGGGGTTCTCTTGGACTGTCTTTGGGGCCTCTTTGGGCACTCTTGGCCAGTCTTCGGGCTTTTTGATGCTCCGGGACTCCCCAGGGTATCGGACCCCCCCACGCCCTCCGGGGACCCCCCCCCGCCCCCACCCCCCGGCGGGGAAGGGATCGAAGGGAAGGGGCTTCCGTTCGACTCAGTTACGACATTGCTCAACTTCGCTTTGGTTGGCGCGCTGAGGAGGTCCCTGGAAAAAGGGGGGAGCTTCGACGAGCCCAGGGAAAGGGGGAGACAGGGAAAGGGGACGACAGAGACGACGACCAACGAATGACGGAGATGACGACTTGAACGGACAAGCCCCTTACACACGCCGACAGGGTCGGCGGATGTTTGGAATCCCAGGGTCCATTCTTCTTGGGGTGCATTCTTGCTTCAATCTTCGATGGGTTTCTCGTTTTCCCTCCTCAGGTGGCGGGCGGGCACCCAATCTACTCTCAACCCAGGCGATCGCAAAGACGGATCAAGGGGGCGTGGATTAGCGACGGGTCCCGTCTCCAAAGGAATCGCTGATGTCCGCCGCCGAACGAGGCGGCACCGGCCGCATTTGGGGGAGGGCACCTCCCCCGATCCATGGATTTGGCGGCCGTGCGCCAACTCCATGGATCGCGAATCCATGCTTGCGCGCCCCCGATCAGCCCCTTCCTGCTTCATGCTTCCACCCACTTCTTCCGACCGATGGACAGCGAATGCCCCGCGGAACGGACGCCCGAGCGATGGCAGCCCTCCCCCGTCGCGCAGGCACGGCCGGTGACGCTCGAGGGCCCGGCGGCCGCGCCTGACTCGGGGCTGCCTGGCCCCCGCCAACGGCGCTGGCCGCGCGATGCCGCGCGGGCGAAAACTTCAGTCGGGCATGTGCCTCTACAGGAGGAGTACTCAACAATAGCAAAAGGACAGTCCGGGGACGACCGCTCGACCATGTTTGGCTATTTTTCGAGCATGCTCTGGCGATCGTTCGACCATGTTTGGCTATTTTTCGAGCATCTTCTGACTATTTTCCACTCTTCAGCCCGAGTCCGCCTGTGGGAGGAGGACACGCCCGACCTGACCGAAGCCAGGGCCTGCAGGCGCAGCAGGGCGGGCGGAACGTGCTCGAGAGCAGCTGCATGCCCTCGCGCAGGGGCCAGAGGAATCCGAGGCCCCGACGAGCATCGGAGCGGCCAGTTGATACCTATTTTCGGCCTCATGCGGCCCTCAATCGAAGAAGAACAAAACGCTAGAAACATAAACTTTCGGCGTCCGCGCGGATTTGTTGGGTCCGCGCTGAGCCCCCCCGGCGGCGCCTCCGGCGCCGCCCCTGGCGCGCTCCGCGCGCCAGGGAGGGGGTCCAGCGCAGATCCAAGAAATCCTCGAGGAGCGTCACAAGTTTATGTTTACGCAGTTGTTTCTTTGTTTCGCCTTCTACTCAACTCAGGGGCAACGACAGATGTGGATAGGCATAGGGGGGATGCATAGACCCCCAATCGTCCATTGATCTCCGATAGGGGTCTCATTGCCCCAGCACGCCCTGGAAGGTGCAGACTCGCTATCGGGGGCCTAAAGTTATCGCCGACCAATCGGCGATGTATCGCCGATTCCCAATCGGCGATGTATCGCCGATTCCAGGTCGATGTTTCCCCCCCCCTATGCCAGTCCCCCCTGTCGTTGCCCTTCAGGCCCTCAACGGGCCCCAGGACCGTCAACAAACTACTGAAGATGAAACTCGCCGATGAAGAAGGGGCGGAAGGCGCAACAGCCCGAGGGGATCGTGCACGGGCTTCTGCTTCACGCGGCATTGTGATCCGCCTGCGTTGAAGAGCATCGCCAGAGCACGCGAAAACACCCCTGGAGGCAGGATCTCGAGCGCCTTCGCCTTCCTGGCGAGGGAGGGCGGATAACAGCGATCGGGCGATACGTGTGGCGATGATCCTGGTGCTCCAGAGCCCTGATGCTGCTGTTGCGGCCTTTAGTGCTGCTGGCTAGACAGTGGGGAATCATGTATCGGAGGAAAAGAGACAGTCACATGACTTTCTTGCTAGCAGTCGTCTCTGATCTGGATTGGCCCGCACAGCAGAGCGGGCGTCACGGGAGGGCCCCAAAGGGAAGTTTTCAGGCAAGTCGTCCAATTCAGGCGTCTCTTATGCCAGGTGGCTGTTTGGAGTGAAGTCCTCGACGCGGGTGTTCTTGCGCAGTTGTGTTTTTTTTTATGGCGCCTTTTAGGGGCCCTCTTGTGGCAACCTAGGGCTCCTCTTCTGGCCTCCTCGGGGGCCTTTCCGGATTAGTTTGAAAGTGTGAGTGCCAATGTGATAAGCATCGGATCATTTGAGAAGCCCTGACTTCTATGAGCGAATGCATTGAGGCGCGTCGTTAGCATCGCCATCGTCACTTTCAATCGAAGGAGGATGTTTTCTCAGATATTGAGATCTGGACCTGCAGGTTTCAAGTATGCAGCATTAGTTCAATCGGATCGTGAACCTTAACTCTACGACGCCCACAGTCCCTGCTAGCATTATCTGTAAGCAAGTTGGTCGAATTCCAATTTCCTCAAATCGCGATCGTTCATACTCACCCTAGTCACCTAGTGGGGTTCGGCCCATCCCGCAATCCCAGCACTGTGCCTGGGTCGCGGACCGGAGACACATTGGAGTCTCTCGGGGGGCCTCCTCGGTTTCTGTTGACGGCATCCTGAGGGCTTCTTGGGGGGGCCTCTTGTGGCCGTTTCGGGCCCTTCTTGAGTGCTTAGAGACCCTCTCTGGCCATCTTGGACTCCTTGGGGCCGTCTTGAGAGTCCTTCGGGCCATTTGGGGGCCATCTCGAGCCCCTCCTGGGCTGTCTTGGGGCCATCTCAGGCTGTCTTGAGCCCCTTCAGGCGCGCGCTTAGGCTGTCTTGGGGCCGACTTGGGCATCTTTTGAACCATCCTGGGGGGCCCTCTTGGCGGGCCGTCTTTTGGGCCGCCTGCGGCCATCCTGGGCCCTCGTGAGGCTGTTGTCTGCCATCTCGGAGCCATCCTGGGGCACCACGGGGCCATCGACAGGGCCCCGGGGTGTGGGGGTGTGTAGGGAGGGGGGGCGATTGACGGCGGCTGGACGTGGCCCTCGGGGGCGGCCCCGCAAGCACGGATTTTGGGGTGCTCCACTGCGCGCGTGCGGAAGGCACCGTGGGGAACACTGCAGACCACATCGGGTCCCCGTCCACGTAACGTCAGACCATGTCATGCGGACGCTCTCGCTGTTTTGGAAGAACTCGCGGCTGCATATCCATCACCTGGTACGAGCAAGCACTGCTGTGCGGCGCCCGCACGTTCGTATGATACAGCAGTTGTCCTCTCCATCCCGTGTTCTTTCCTCCGTCTCTCCCAGGTCCATGTCTCCTCCTCGTTCCATGTCTCCACTTCCAAGTGCCTGAGGCGCCTTCCCAGCACCTGGGGCCCACCGCTGGGATCCAATGGACGCCCACCAGGACAGTTGGGCATTCGCGCTTTCAAGACATGTCGCCCATCACCGAAACCCAGTGGGGTGCCCCAGTGGCGTGCCTCGTGCAATTACCGATTACCTCTCAGTGCGACTGGTGATGCAGACCCCAGGTAGACCTTCTCGGGGCAAGTTCGCTATCAGCAGGCGGGAACCTATTCGTGCAATCGCTGATTGAAGGGGCGGGTCTCACGAGGAAGAGGGGGGCATGTGAAGAAGATGGGATTTTCGTGCATACTTTCGTGCATCTGCGCTGCTCGCCGCAGCCACTGTGCAGCTTTGGGGCGCGTCTGCGCCGATGGTGATCGCCGCTGGTTCCACTCATGAGCGTTCAGGCGATGCTCTCTTAACTGATCCACAGCATCTCGAAGGGGGAAGAAGCAATGTCTTGGTTTTCGCCACCGTCGGGGCCCTGAAGAAGGAACCCTTTTCGTTGGAGAGGGGCTCCGTGTTCCTTAATTGTTTCGCAGCTTGCCTTGGATTTTCCTCAGGTTTTCGATACGAAATCGAAGTTCAGCTTATGGAAAATAGGGGCCTCTTTCCTTATTTAGGGTTCCTTAGGTCAACGCCCCGACTGTACGGGGCCTCCGGACGTCCCGACCCCTTCCCGGAGCCGGTGCTCCCTCCGAATGGCTTTTCCACGGCCCCGGGGCCCCGCAGGCCGAAGACGGCCGAAGGCCTCCCGCAGATTGAGCGCCGATCCCACACCACCACTGCCATGGGCAGGGCGGGGGAGAAGGGAAGATGGGGAGGTCCTCCTCCTCCTCCTCCTCATCCCTCTCCTGCCTTCCAGCAGTGGCGAAGCGTCCTGGCTCGCCTATAGCCCCACCAAACAATGTTCTAAGAACCTTTTGTGGTTCCCACGAAATGTTCTTAGAACATTTCTGGCTGGGACTGTCTTGTTTTAACACATCGGGTCTAGGTTCTAAGAACATTGTTTTTGTTCTTAGAACATTGCTGGGTTCTAGGAACACTTCGTGGTAGGACTATAGGAATGCCGGGACGGTCGGTCCCTGCTCAACGACTATGGTAGTGGTGTTGGAAACTCGGCCCATCAATTCGTTTCCCACGGCGCGGGCATGCCGGGGGGAGGAACAGCGGCAGCGGCCGCCTCCAGAGGGCCCAGAGGTCCCGGCCGCTCCCCAGGCGGGTCCTGTTTCGTGCCAGGCATCCGCCAGCGAGAATCTTGGCATCGCTCGGACGTGTGCATTTTTTCCTTCGGCGAGGGCCATCGAGGAACATCCTTGATCATTTCGCGAAAAAACCACGCACGAAACGTAAAAGAACACAGGGACTTGACGTCCGAGCGATGGCCAGGAGTGCCCCAGGGCCCGAAGTGATGGCCCCCGAGGGCCGACCTCGAGGAAAGCCCGCCGGCTGGGACGATCCTACCGCCGGGGATGTGTTTAAGGGGGCTAGGACGAGGATGCCCACTGGTCGTTGAAAGTAGGTATTCTGGGATTCCCAGATTCCAATCTACTTTAACCGCCTTCCTACTTCATTGATCGAGTGGCTTCCCCTTTTCTGTCCGCCTGAAGGGGCGGACGGAAGCCAATCTACTCTCAACACCTTCCTGCCTCATGTTTCTACCTACTTCTTCCGGCCGATGTGTATTTCCGTTCCAGAGCCTGCCGGAACGCTCTGCGAAGGGCGCGGCGCCCGATGCATCCTCCAGGGCCGCCAGGTCTCACAGTTTCTCGATGTATCCTCACCCGAATGCATGCTCGTCCTGGCCTTCGTTTGGTCTGCCATGCTCTTGTGGTCCGCCATGCTACTCAGGCTCTTCATGCGGGTCTACCGTGTGCTCCTGTGGTCTCCCGTGCCGTTAGGTGTTGACGTGCTCCTTGCTGTTCTGGTCTGCCGTGCTCCTGTGGTCCGCCGTGCTGGTCTGCCGTGCTCACGTGGTCTGGCGTGCCGGTTTGCCGTGCCGGTGTGGTCCGCCGCGTGGTCCTGCCGTGTGGTCGGCCATGCGGTTCGATTCTGCCGTGCTCATATTGGTCTGCCGTCGTGGCTCTGGTTCTGCGGGGCCTATAAAGGCTAGAGGGGCACCACTGAGGCGCCAAAGCCCGAGGCCACCACTGGGCCTGTCCCAGAGGGCCTACTAGGGCCGTCCCCGTACAGAGCAGGGAGCTCCAGGACGCAAAAAACGGGACCCCGAGGCCCAGAGGCGGAGCACCTTGGCCCCAAGGGAAGGCTGTGGTCTGCCGCGGTGATCTGGCCTCCCCCCCCCCCCCAGAGAGCAGGCCCCCTGGATCCGCGCCCTGGGCAGCGAGGAGCTGGCGCGGCTCCGCGCGCCCCCGCGCCGCGCCGCCTGCGTGGAGGTCGGGGCGCCCGCCCGCAAGGCGCCGTGGGGCCACCGCCCAGGGGAGAGGGGCCAAAAAGGTTACGTCGGGCACGTTCCTCTACAGGGCGAGCAGGAGGAGGATGATGATGAGGAGGAGGAGGAGGAAGAATAAGAGGGGGAGATGAGGATGAGGAGGAAGAGGCCTCCTGGGGGCCTCTTGTGGGGTTCTCTTGGGGGCTCTTGGCGGCCTCTCGATGTATTGTTTTTCTGTCACTCGGTGTCCCCGGGAAGTCCCGACCCTGTCCCCAGGCCCGGCGAGGGCGATGGCCCCCAGGTGCCGAACATTCCCAAACATTCCTAGGGGAGCAACAAGTGACATTAACATAAAAACTCAGAGGTCCGCGCGGATTTCTCGCATCGGCGCTGGGGCCCCCCGGCGGCGCCTCCGGCGCCGCCCCTGGCGCGCTCCGCGCGCCAGGGAGGGGGATCCAGCGCCGATCCGACAAATCCGCGCGGACCTACGAATTTTTATGTTTAGGTCATTTTTTGTTCCTCTAATTCCCGTGGCGCTCTGATGTTCCAACCGACTTCAGCCTTGGCCACCAAAGAGTTTCGAGCACCAGGAAAGTACCGAAGCTGGAGGGTTTTCACGCGTCGGGCCCTGGGAGGTGATACCCATTCGACACTGTTTCGACATTTTTCTGGGTCCTCATTTTTGTTTAGGGGATGTGGTCCTTAAGTACGACGGGAACAGCATAACCATAGCGTTTTTTTCTCACCGCGGGAGCCGGTGTGAGGCTTCGATCGAAGAAGAACAAAAACGGGCATAAACATAAATGTTTGGCGATCCGCGCGGATTTCTCGGATCCGCGCGGGGGCGCCCCTGGCGGCGCCTCCGGCGCCGCCCCTGGCGCGCTCCGCGCGCCAGGCAGGGTGGTCCAGCGCAGATCCGACAGTTTATGTGCTTCTGTGTACGCCGTTTTGTTTTGTCTCTGTGTTCGAGGTCACATGACAACGTCGGGGGTTGTGCGGAGGCGAGCTCTCCCCCTCGCGGGTGGAAAATCCACCCGGACCCGACAGTTGGCGTTTACACAACGGCCCTGGGCGTTTATTAAACAGCCTTGCCCTGTTCGATTCCTTCGGTGGGTGCGTTTGCTACACGGCTTCGCGTGTCGGGGTGATCATTATAGGGAGTGGATTTTCGTCCCCCTACTCGTCGCCCAGCCAGGTGCTGCTGGCCGCCTGCGGCGACGAGGTGCTGGCCCTGGATGCCCGCTGCGCGCACCGGGGAGGCCCGCTGGAGCAGGGCGACATCGAGGACCGCTGGGGGCCTCCCGGAGCGGAGGGGGCCGCGCGCAGGTCGGGCGCGGCGACAGCCCCGGGATGCCCAGACCACCTCGCGTCGTAGAGCACATCACGCTGGGAGTTTTGTTTGTTTCTGTTGTTCTGGTTTCGGCCTCCTCCTCTCCCTCCCGCTCCTCCTCCTCCTCCTCCTCCTCTTCCTGCTGCTCCTCCTCCTCATCCTCCTCATCCTCCTCCCTCCTCCTCCTCCTTCTCCTCCTCCTCCTCCTCCTTCTCCTGCTGCTGCTCCTGCTCCTCCTCCTCCTCTTCTCCTCCTCCTCCGCCTCCAGCTTCTCACATTGTTTCACACGCGTGTACTGTAGCAGGCGCCTCGGTGCTCACTCCGCCGCGCCTTCATGGCGCCACGCGCGCCGAGCCGTAGCCGTAGCCGTAGCCTCTGGGGACCCTCACCGGGCCTCGGGACCGTCAAAAAAACGACTCAGGAGGAGAAGCCGGTCCCGGGGAAGGGGTCCAGACCTCGGGGGGTCGACGTCATGAAACAAGCATGACATCGGGGGTCTGGGCACACGGGGCATTCCAGAGGGGGCCTCGCCTTCGAGGACGGTCTATGGGGGTCTTTTTGGGGGGGATTGCGGGAGTGTTCGACCAGGTCGCATCCACGCCCAGCCGGTTTGGTATCTCCGAAAGAGCGCGTTCTGTGGTCGCTTGGAGGGGGGGGGTTGGAACCAGACCCCCCCCCCTGGGATGGAGGGGGGGGGGTTCGAACCCCCCCACCTTCCCGTGACGGAGGGAGGGGGGGGGGTTCGAACACCCCCCCTTGTCCTTACTTCTCCTCTCGCCTTCTCCTCGGGCCAACGCCTGCGTCGGCGGCGTTCCTGGCGGCGGCGGCGGGGGTGCTGGTGGTGGTGGTGGTGGTGGTGGTGGTGGTGGTGGTGGTGGTGGGTGGTGGTGGTGGTGTGGTGGTGGTGGTGGTGGTGGTGGTGGTGGTGGTGGTGTGGTGTGGTGGTGAGGTGGTGGGTGGTAGTGGCGGTGGTGGTGGTGGTGAGGTGGTGGTGGTGGTGGTGGTGGTGGTGGTGGTGGTGGTGGTGGTGGTTGTGCAACTGGTAGTAGTGATGGTGGTAGTGGTGGTGGCGATGGTGTGGTAGATTGTGGTAATGGTGGTGGTAGTGGTGGTGGGTTGTTGTATTGGTGGTGGTGGTGGTGGTGGTGGTGGTGAGCTGTTGTGGTGGTGGTGGAGGCTGTGGTGGTGGTGGTGGTTGTGTGGTGGTTTGGTGGTGGTGGTGGTGGTGGTGGTGGTGGTGGTGGGTTGAGGTGGTGATGGTGGTGGTCGTCGTGGTTGGTGGTGGTGGTGGTGTGGTGGTGGTGGTGGTGGTGGTGGTGGGCTGTGGTGCGCTGCGTTCCCGCCGTCGGCGCTGCTGGCTGCCGCCAGCGCCGGCGCCGGCGCCAGCGCGGGGGGGAGGGGGGGAGGCCCTCCTGGGCTCTCTCTGGTCATCGTCGCTGCGTTGGCGTTACGGCGGCCGCCAGCGCCGGCGCCGGCGCCAGGGGGGGGGGAGGGACCCCCCCTCCCCTTTCGGGAGGGGGGGGGCGGGTCGGGAGGCGGGGGGTCAAAGGGGGGGGGGAGTCTCCCTGGTTCTGATCGACGGCGCCGAGTGTTGGGGGGAGGGGTGCCCACCTGGTTCGAAACGCGCCGTCGAATTTTCCCAAGGCAAGCGCCCGTGAAACGCGCTCTCTCGTATCTCCTTAGCACCTCCTGTCCAGGCTTCTGACACTGCCGACGCACTGCATTGTTCAATCGCCTTGCCTAATTACATCTACTACCACGATGCGGATCTCGGGGACAGGCTGGGAACACCGTGGACACTGAGGGGCAAGGTCAGGAGGAAGGGAGCGACAAAGGCGACGGATTTCATCTGCCGCCTGGATGGTGTTTCAATCTTCACAAGTTAACCCATTACTCGATGGAAAATCCCGAACTGCGCGTCCAATGATTCGAAAACCGCACGTCGCAGGAGCACCAGCACATTTTTCGACCCTGCGGAGGCTGCTGTGAGACGGTCTGTAGCAGGTTCCCTCACAAAGCGGAGACAAGCATTTTCCTTCGATTGTCGGGGATACCGTCGAGGCTGATTAGTAGGTCGGCTCGGCCAAATCAAGAGTACCTTCGTGTCCTGTGTTTCGCGACCCATGCCTCCCATTCCCATGGCAACGTGGCCCTCGGAGGGGTCGCGTGCCCTCTCCAATCGGCCTCGACTGCACGCACGGTGATCTGGTGTCCGCCGGTGGTGGCGCCACAGGCCTCGGCGTGCACAACCGTGGGAGGCAGTGCGGCGACCACGCGGTCCCACGTCCATGCGGCGGCGTCCCTCCGGCGAGACGTCAGGCCGAAGGGCCCAAGCGGCCACGCGCAGAAGGGGGGGCAGGGGGAGGGCAAAGGGCTCCTTAGAGGCACCCCTGCTTCTCAGAAGGCGCGGGCCTGCTCTACAGATGTGAGGTCAGCGCCCTCTAAGAAGCAGCTTTCTTCTATGAAGCCTTGCCCCCTCCCCCTACCCCCTCGCGCGCGCCGCCCATCAATCTGGGTCAGGCATCGCGAGCTGGTGGAGAAGCCTCATCAAGTCACAGCCGTCACAAGCCCACACTTTGCCAGACTCCGTCTCATCTGCAATGATCACGCACCTGTCAGATCCGCGAGCGTTCTGCTACAACGCCTGCTCCGCGTTACTCCAATCGGGCGGTGCTTTTGGTGGCGCGATCCAGCGGCTGCTGATCCACGTGCTCAGGTTGCGAAAGCCCCTGCGGAGAACGCGAGGTTGTTTGCGCGCTCTTGCTCCCCATGCTCCCAGGGCCGCACGGGCATCTCGCAGGGCTCGGCGCGGGCGCGGCCAGAGCGGTCGCCTCCGCGGCCCGCCCAGCTTGCGACGGCGCCTTGTCGCTGACTTCGGGGGCGGCAAAGAGGGGGGTGATGACTGGGGGGGGTGGATATCATGGCGGGGGCCACGATGTTTCCCCAGATTTCATGGCGCTTCTTCTTATTCCATGACGTCTTCGGCCCCCTCGCTGGGCCGCGCACGTGCCGCCGGTCATGATCTGCACCCCCCCCCCTTGGACGCCGCCCTCTTGGCCGCCCCCGATGACTGCGGGCCGCCCGGCGGGCGAGGAAAAGAGCACGGGGCGTGGCGCCCGTGCAGGAGCGGCCGGCCGTGGCGCGGTCCTTCTCCTCTCCCTCCTCCTCCTCCTCCTCCTCCTCGTCCTCCTCCTCCTCCTCCTCCTCCTCCTCCCCTCTCCTCCCTCCTCCTCCTCCTCCTCCTCCTCCCCCTCCTCCCCCTCCTCCTCCTCCTCCTCCTCCTCCTCCTCCTCCTCCTCCTCCTCCTCCTCCTCCTGGGCGGGGTGGCTCCTGGGCGACGGCCGGCCTCGGCGGGCGGGCGCGCACCTCGCGGGTCGGGGCAGACTTCCTGGCTCGTGCCATCGCGGCGATTTGCCAGTTTGGAGCATATCCCTATCCCTATGTTTGGCATCACCTCGCCTCGATGCCGATCTCAAGGGTTCCCTCAGGTTCTGAGAGCGCATCCCCAAGATTGTCTTCGCTTTTTGCTCGCCCATCTTCGGGATAGGGATAAGTTCGAGGCTGGTTAGCGATGGCCGATCTGGCCCACTTGCGGTGCTCCGTGGCCTGTAACACTGACGGTGGGAGAGGAGGAGGACGTCGAGCATGTGGTAGCCGTCGATGTCGGAGGTGCTGCTCAGTATGAAGCATCGCCAAAAGTCGCCGATGGAACGACTCGAGAAACACACTAGTCGTCGAAGCTGCGACGTATAGGTGTGCCCCGTACCTCGAGACGGCTCCAGTACCTGAACACGGGTAAGTCCTTACGTTTCGATGCCAAGACAGTCAGTAGGACCCCGTGTCGCCGTCCATCGAAGAGCCACACCTGTCCATGCTCGCCCTCGAGATGATGGTGCTCACATCTTCGTAGCTTGTAGAGTGCTGCGAACGGCGCGGAGTCTGACAACGACCCTGGTAGGCTGCTGTGACTTCTCGATCTGCACCGGGCGGTAGGTACTCGGCTCTGGCATCTGGAACCGTGGAGAGCCATGCTGGTGCAGTCGTGATGGCACGCGGTCCCTTTGGGCCACGACCGGGGGCAGCGCCTCTGGGCCCTGCGCGCCGCTTCCGCTGCATGGAGTTGGCCCGCACCTCGCCGGCGGCTCACCGCCGCAGACGCCGTGGCATCACTTTGACTGCGTCTATGGCTGAAGCCTCGGAGCGCAATTTGCCTCAGAACGGAAGGGTGCCTGTTCTGCGCGAAAAAGAAGGGCTGGAAGAACGAACCGAGAGCCCACGCTACGCCGAAGCACCCAGTACCGCAGTACCGCGGTCGGCGCTTAGGGCCGACTCGCGGGTGCAGCGCTGCTCGACAGTGTTCAGCCTCGCGACCGAAAAGACACGGTGGAGCGGTATCCCCGAGCAGCGCTTCGCCCACGTGCAACCCTCTATGGCTGCCCAAAACATAGACTGCAGCTCGCAACTTTGACTGTGGAGGTCCAAGGAAGCAACTAAGTATCTGGAGGTCGGGTGGATGATCTCAATCGTTGATGACCACACGGGGATCGGGCGCCGCCATCGTGAATACCTGGCGCGCCCAAGCTGGCACCGTGGCCTGTGCCTGGGCCCGTCGAAGTCGAAGGAGAGCCAACATGGCGAATGCAGAGCCGACGATGCTCCACCGGTATACGCCCCGCAGGGGTTTGAAGCTTGGCCTTCTTGGTCCAGCAACGCATTCAAGTACGAACGAGAGGGATAGCATGTCGGTGAAACCTTCGGGGCCATATCCACAGTCCAAGCGCACTGGTTGCCTCGTCCTGTGGTATGCTGGCCTCCTTGTGGAGTACACTCTGGATGATAAATGGCATGCACACGACGGTAGTCCTTCTCGTGCATGAGCGGGAGCGGCCAGCGGACCATGAGGCGCTCCCGTGCTTCTTCTGAGGATCCGAGACTGACGACCAACCCTCGTTCGCGGATGCCGACCACTGCTAGTTCATTCGACGTCCATCCCGACGCTTTGGAGATTGTGAAGGATCACTGTGTCGAGAACCTCCTCCGAAGGTGCCAGATAGTCCCGTAAGGCCTGGGTCTAAACATCTTTCATCATTTCCTCCTGCTCCGCCCGCACGAATGACGGGAACAGGGTGTCCATCCTCCTCTGGAAGTAATCGCAGTAGACCGTGAATGTCTGGTGCATCCCGGGCCTGGGGAGTCGTCTAATGCGTGCTTTGGTTTGCCCCGTCTGTAGCAGGTCGAGGAGGGTTGCCATCACCGTGTCGATTCTGGGGGGTGCGGAGAATGTGCCAGGCTGTGGCGTCTTTGGCGCCAGCACGAACGATAGAAACAACAACCCGCCTTCTCAGGCGGCAGTTGAAATCTGATGATCCGTCGCCGATGCCGTGGTACACCAGAGTATGAGAAAGTCACTGTATGCGAATGCTTCGTATGAGACGACGTGCGACCACCTGGTAGGCGATGAGCGTTGCGTGGGCCAGCCAGGTCCCCTGAAACGCGCGAGAGAGAGACCTGGCCACAAGCATTACACGCTGGACGAACGGGAGAATGAGAGATGGAGACACAATGCCGGTAATGGACGGGTGAGAAAGAGCTATATATAGAGAGGAACAACACAAATAGTAAGGGAGGAACGAAAAGAGAGAACGAAAGAGAGACAGAACGAGTGACAGAGAGAGAGAGAGAGAGTAATTGGGGGAGGGGGTGAGCGATCTGGGAAGAAACGGAACGGAGGGAAGTGCGGCGGTGAGGTGATGGGTGGGGAATGATGTCGAGGAGGAAGATGAGCATCGGGGCGAGGATGTCGCCGGCAACGACGGCTCCGCAGGTGCTTCAGGGACTGGGGCCTTGTCTCGTCGCCCCGCCTCTCGCCCATGTGTCGGTGTTCCTCTTGTCAGGCAGCTGGGGGGAAGGTCAAGATGGGAGGATCCAGCGGCGATCTACCGTGCAGCTGGCACAAATCTTAAGAACAACTATGGGTTCTAGGTTTGGGGGTACTCTTATGTTCTTCGCATTTGGGTCTTCCACCTTGGAATATGCTCCCTTTCGGGTATCTCCATGGGGTATTGGGCCTTTCAAGAGGGGGCTCGCGTTCTTTGCTTGCGTTCCTGTAGCCATGTTTCGACGGTGCTGACATATCTCAGTCACCTTTACGCCTTTTTACTACGCAAACAGAAACGGTCAACACCATGGTCACTGGTGTTTACATTGTCGACAAGTGGGAGGGGTGAGGGGGGAGAGTGGGATGACCGACCTGTGCAGATCAGATGTTGCCACACATGTACCAGTATTCAGCTATTATATGGCTTCTTGGTGTGGCCAAGGGAGGCGTCGAAACACCGCTGCAGTCGGTGAGCTGACGCCGGTTTGGAAGTGATGCCGTCGATGTCGTTGACGCCGACAGTTGTTCCTAATCCGAGCAAGCAGTTCGTCTGAGCAGTGGAGGCGTTTGACACGACGCAAGACTCAAGAAGCCTTGCGCATCAGGGCAGCGTCCAGGAAAGGTTGGATTATGATCGTGATGTTGATGATGATAATTGTGGAGACTCTGATGATTATGATGGCAAGGTTGATGAGGATGAGTATGAGGATGATGATGAACCTGACGATGATGCTGATGATGCTGATGATGCTGATGATAATGATCAGGATGATGATGATGATGATGATGATGATGATGATGATGATGATGATGATGATGATGATGATGATGATGATGGTGCTGATGATGATGATGCTGATGATGATAATGTTGATGCTGATGCTGATGCTGATGCTGATGCTGCTGATAATTATGATGATGCTGATGCTTCTGCTGATGATGATGAGACTGGTGATGATGCTGATGATGATGCTGATGCTGATGCTGATGCTGCTGATGCTGATGATGATGACAACGGCGAGGAGAAGGGGAGGGGAGGAGGAGGAGGAGGAGGAGGAGGAGGTGGTTTTGTAGCATGAGGGGATGAGGCTCTTGGAAGGTATGGTGTTAGGGATGTGGCCGGGATGGGTGAGGGAGGAGAAGGACTGCAGCTCACCCCCTTTTGGATCTTCTTGCTGCCACCGGCGCGCGAGTTGCTCCCACGATCCGCTGCCCGTGGCACGGCCGGCGGTACTGCCTGCGCACCGGCAGAGAGGTGGGCTTCCCTTCTCCATTTGCCCATCCCTGCATTACGTTGCACCTTCGGGGGACCTCGCCTGTCCCCAAAATACGTGTCTTTTCTGGTGCCCGACGCGGGCTCGATGCAGACTCGACGTGGATTTGGCGTGGATTCGACGTGGACTCGGCACCGATTCGACACGGATCCGACGAGTCCGACACGGATCCGGCATGGATTCGACGCGGATAGGGCCGCGGTTGGACAGACAAGGTTCCCCGAGGATGCAACAGAACCTGCCCTGCCCTCTCCACACCTCCCCGCCCCGCCGCGCCCAACAGCTTCCCTCTCTTGCGCATCCCCCGCTTCATGACCATGGGCTTATGGCTGTCAGTGGCACGCCCCCGCCTCGACTTCGCTTCCGCCCACTCGCATTCTCATTCATGCATGCTCGGGCTCAATGGCACCCAGACTCGCTCACACTGGATCTTACTCGCTCGCTCGTGGCCAGAATCACTCGTACTCAAGGGCCACCCGAGGGGTGTCGCCAGGGGGTCTGACACGGGCCCGCTCGCGACCAGATTGTGGGGACGTGTCAGGCGCAGCGCCTATTTTTTAGCCCAGCAGACAAGTCTCGTTCCAGAACCCCAGGGTCACTGCGATGTAGCAGGCATTGAACTTCGCATCGGGGCTCCCGCGGGGGAGCCCCCAGGAGAGACCCATCCATACCCACTGTCCCCGACGCTCTTGGGCCTTTCGGCATCATGATCTTCTCCTCTCCCCAGCGGTGTCCAGGGTTTTCAGCTGCGCCGTGCAGAACTGGGTCAGTGTCCCGCACTTGCCCCTGATGGCCCCGTGTGGCGTTGGCCTTCTGTGGCCGCCCTGTGTTTTTGCTCGCCCTACTTCGCCACCGGGTTCCTGTACAAGGCGTTCCTTTGCAAGCACGCCGTTTTCGGCACCGCCTGATCCCGAGGCTTTGCCTCCTCCTGGCCTTGCCGTGAGGCCGCGCTCCTTCTGTCCCCCCCTCTACGTTAATTCAAGCTTCGCGCGGCCCGCTTAGTTTCGACCGGAAGAGGTGCGCTCTCGACCCGCGGATCAACAAAACTGTGTTTTTGCTCGCCCCCCTTGCCCTGTGCCGTGGTCGCCGCCTCTGATGACGCTCTGGTCTCCGCTGGCCTCCTGGGGCTTACCCTCCCTCGATTGCTAAGGCCTTGCGGCCGGTGCCGCCGACCCTGAAGCCGACGACGAATACGAGGAGGAGGAGGAGGAGGAGGAGGAGGAGGAGGAGGAGGAGGAGGAGGGGGATTAAGGTGGAAGGGAGCAGGAGAAGGCGAAGGAGATTTTCCCCACGTGGGCCGAGGGAGTCGTAGCAGAGATCGACAGGGAGCCTTGTGGCCTGCGGCCCTTCCCGCCACCGTGATGGGGTTGTGGTTGAAAGGCCTCTTGGTTGCTTTCGGGCCTGTTGGGGCCTCTGTTGGGCCTCTTGGGGGTGTCTTGGGGGCCTCTTCGGGCCCCTTGAGGGGTTCTTGGAGCCTTCTGGGGGCTTCTTGGGGCGGGAAGCTCGAAGTGTCAGTTCGTGGTCCTCTTCTTGGGCCTGCTTGGGGCCCTTTTGGGGCGTCTTGGCGCTTTTTGGGGCTCCGGGACGCCCAGAGGCGGATGCGTATCTTACCCCCCCCCCCCGGGACCCCTCCCGGGACCCCCCCCCTCGGCGGGGGAGGGATCAAAGGGAAGGGGCTTCCCTTCGACTTAAGTACGACGTTGCTACGATTTTCTCTCGATGGCAGGCTTGAAGAGGAGGGTGCAGGGAAAGGTGACGACGAAGACGCAGTGAAAGACGACAACGGATGCGTCGACTGAGCTCACGCCGACAGGGGGTCCACGCGCCGACAGGGTCTGCGGAATTTCGAATGGTCCAGACAGCGTAAGAAGAACGCATCTGAGGTGCGCGCGAACTTCTTGGATCTGCGCTGGGCCCCTCCAACGGCGCATTCAGCGCAACAGATCGCAGCCCCCCAGAGACGGCGAGGTTTCCCTCAGGTCCGTGAGGTGCTTCACTCCAGTGGTCCCACCAGCAGCCCTCGAAAGTGGCGAAAGTTTCGCAGATCGCAGCCCCCCAGGAACGGCGAGGTCCACCTCAGGTCCGCGCGGTGCCTCACTCCGTTGATCCCACCATCAGCCCTCGAAAGTGGCGACAGTTTCGCAGATCGCAGCACCCCATGGACGGCGAGGTCTACCTCAGGTCCGCGCGGTGCCTCATTCCGCTGGACCGACCCAAAGCTTTCGAAAGGGGCGACAGTTTCGCAGATCGCAGCACCCCAGCGACGGCGAAGAGAGGGCAGGAGGAGGCGGGATGAGGCGGGAGGAGGAAGACGCGACCGCGGTGCTCTACCCAAAACGAATACCCAACCAAGGAGGGTTGGGAAACATCGGCGCGCGCCAGGGGTGCCCAGCGCGGATCCAAGAATTTCGCGGGGAGCGCCAAAAGTTTGTGCGTATGGCATTTTGTTCATCTTCCTCTAAAAGAGCGCGCCACGCACCTCTCGCAAGCGCTGCGTCGCGCTCGGGGCCTCTCCTCGTTTTGTTCCGGAGAGCCCACTCCGCCTGGGGCGCCGCTTCGGCGTCTCCACGGCCCCTCCCCATTGGAGCCCCCATCCATGAGGCCATCCAGTCGAGACCCGACGCTCACTGCCAGCGCAACAGCTGCTGGCCTTCCTTTGCGTCCCGCGAGAGCGCGTGGCAACACGTTGCTACACGGATCACGCCGTGAATCGCGGTCGTGTTTCTTGCGTTTTTTGTTTGTTTGTTTGTTTGTTTTTCTTTCTTCGACCGGAAGAGGTGCGCTCTCGACCCGCGGATCAAAAAAGTGTTTCTTGCGTTCTGGGCGCGCAGATTGGGAGTGCCACTCCCGAGTCGCCACGCCCTGTTTTTTTTCAGACGCAGTGTTCCAGACGGCGCTGCGGGGAACGTGTTTCCCGACCCCCATCTCTACGAGCGGCTCTTCTCGCCAAAGAGGCGCGGGCAGCCGGCGCTTGCAGCCCCGCCCAGGGACGAACTCATGGCCCGAACTGGTGCGTTGTCTACAGATCTTTCCCTCTCTCATCGTCCACTTAGTATCTCCATCGTGCAGCAGTGCCTCCTCTGCCACGTGTCACCCCCTCGGTGTCTGCTGCCCGTGTCCGATCTCTTCCGCCCAGCACCCCGCGGCGATGCCCCGAGGTGTCCGCAGATGGCGCCGCCGTTGGGAGCTGGCCAGCCCAGCGGGTGCACACGACGGAGGCGCTCCGCGCCCTGCCTCCTGGCCACCGGGCTCCTCTCCTACCAACACTGCGGCGGTTTTCATCCTCCCTCCTCCTCCTTGTCCTCCTTGTCCTCCTCATCCTCCTTGTCCTCCTCCTCCTTGTCCTCCTTGTCCTCCTCCTCCTCCTTGTCCTCCTCCTCATCCTTGTTCTCCTCCTCCTCCTTGTCCTCCTCATCCTCCCTCCTCCCCTACCAATACTACAGCGGTTGTCGTCCTCCCTCCGTTTCCTCCTCCTCCTCCTTGTCCCGTCTACCTCTTGGGGGCCGGCGGGGTACCGCCGCAAACTGCTTGACCAGATCGGCGGCACCGGCAGGGGCCACAGATCCTACGATCGGCGGGCGTTGCTTGCCGATGGTCGTCCCTACCAGTCGCACTGCGCCGATACCCCGAGGGTGTCGCCAGGGTTCGGCGGCGCGCCCAGGGGGGAAGCGAGAAGGGGGCGGGCCTGCTCAGCAGGCTCGGAGGCCCCCTGGCCTTCCGAGAAGCTCTTCGGGCCGCCCCGAAGACAGAACACATGCCAGAGGGCGCGAGCGCCCCCGAGGAGTCCCGCTGCCTTCTGGGAGGGCCTTCTCCTTCTCGTTGCCCCTCCGTCGCTCGCCGCCGAAGGATGGCCGAGAGCCGCCGAGCGCCACCCCTGCCCCGAACAAAAAACCCGCGGCCCGAGTCGCCGCGGCGACCCCCACGGCGCTGCGGTCGCCCAATCACCTCCGTTGCGCCTGGGCTCTTGGCGCTTTTGCATTGCTCGGACGCGCGTGTGTGCGTGCGTGCGTGCGTGCGTGCGTGCGTGCGTGCGTGGGTGTGCGTGCGTGCGTGCGTGCGTGCGTGCGTGTGTGTGTGTGTGTGTGTGTGTGTGTGTGTGTGTGTGTGTGTGTGTGTGTGTGTGTGTGTGTGCGTGCGTGCGTGCGTGCGTGCGTGCGTGCGTGCGTGCGTGCGTGCGTGCGTGCGTGCGTGCGTGTGCGTGTGTGTTTTTTTTTTTGTTGTGTGTGTGTGTGCGTGCGTGTGCGTGTGTGTGTGTGTGTGTGTGTGTTTTTGTGTGTGTGTGCGCGTGCGTGCGTGCGTGCGTGCGTGCGTGCGTGTGTGTGTGTGTGTGTATGTGTGCGTGTGCGTGTTTTTCGGCGAGGGCCTTCGAGGAGCAAATTTGATCACTTCTCGATAAAGAATGCGCACGGCACCGGAAAAGGCACGGGGAATCTTTGCATCGCTCGGACGTGTGTGTGTGTGCTTCTCGGCGAGAACCATCGAGGAGCATATTGCGTCACTTTTCTAGAAAGCGCACGACACCGAGAAAGGCACGGGGAAACTTGGCATCGCGGCATCGCTCGGGCGTGTGCTTTTTCTTCGGCGAGGACCATCGAGGAGCACAATTGATCATTATTCGAATAACCACTCACGAAAACGAAACATGCACGGGGAATGGGCGCCCCAGCGATGGCAGACAGGGCACAGTGGGCAGTTCGAGGCTCGCCCGCCAGACGGACTCCTCGGCGGGAGGGAGGATACCATGAGCTAACAACTAGCACCCACACCTGTGCGACCCCAACATTTATCGGGGTGGAGTTTCGTGGACGTCTGTGTGTGTGTGTGTGTTGTCGGATGTGTTGTTAATCGGGGTCCGACAACATCCGCACCCACGCCTGAAGCGCCTCCATCGCCTTGCCCCTCCCCATTCCTCCCCCCTCTAGGTTAAGAGTGTGTGTGTTGCTCGCTGACGAGGAGAAGATTGTGGCGTGTAGATGGTTCTGTCGTGCCTCGGCCGCCGCTCGCTCGAGATGCCGCGACGCCAGGGCGCCCACGGGTGACCCTCCGGCCACCCGTGGAAGGCACTCCCCTCGGGGTGTCGGCACGCGCATGGCGCAGCCGGTGTCTGCAAGGACCGCCCGTCGATCGGAGGAGTCCTCCCCCTCCCCCCTCCTCTTCTTCCTCTCCTTCCTCCTGCTCCTCCTCTTCATCCTTCTCCTCATCCTCCTCCTTTTGCTCCTTTTGCTCCTCCTCCTCCTCCTCCTCCTCCTCCTCCTCCTCCTCCTCCTCCTCCTCCTCCTCCTCCTCCTCCTCCCCCCTCTGTGTTGGCCCGCCGATGCTGCCGATCCATTCAAGAGGCCTGCGTTCACCCGCCGACCCCCCATAGTCGACGAAGAAACAACGCCATAAACATAAACTTTTGGCGCTCCGCGCAGATTTCTTGGATCTGCGCTGTGGCCCCAGGGCGGCGCCTCCAGCGCCGCCCCTGGCGCGCTCCGCGCGCCAGGGAGGGGGATACAGCGCAGATCCAAGAAATCCGCGCGGAGCGCCACAAGTTTATGTTTACGCGTTTTTTCGTTCAAAATTGGTAAATGAGGCGAGGAGGAGCAGGAGGAGCAGTGCCAACGACGGGAGGAAGCAATCAGTGCCGCGAAGCGGGAATCAAGGCGGCCTTGGAGGAGAACCAGCACACACACATCTTCCCATCAGGGAGTTGTTGGAGATTATGTCCCGGACATTTGCGCTTGTGTTGCGGTGTCTAGCCTTCCTCATGGGGATCTCGCTGGGCTTTCTTCGGATATCTTGGAGCATCCTGCGTTCTTCTTGAGGCCCCTCGGGCGATGCGGTGCCCTCTCTGGAGCCGTCTTCAAGGTCGTCTCAGTCATCCTGCCCCCTCCTTCCTTCTCTCGGGATTTAAGGACCCCTGGGGGAGGGGAACCAGGTGGGATCGGCGCCACTCAAAAGTACTCATGTTTGCGCGTCGTCCCCTTCCCTCCCCAGGGGCGACGCGCGTGCGCTCAGCAACGTAGTGTTATATGCTCGATGGAGGGCAGCGTCGTGCCCTACTGCCTGGAAGACGATCGTATATTCAATGTTTTACCATGTTCGGTTCGGAACGCATCCGACGGGGGCGCGCGCACAGTACTGGCATGTCCTTCTGCGTCCCATGGGAGGAGGGCTCTAGGCCTCCTAGATGGTGTCGCAGTATATGGGGCGGGAGGATCGCACCGCATCGCCGATGAATCGCCGATGCGTCTCGGTGTAAAGCCCGATCTGCTTCACGCCGACGTCGCCGATGCCCCGCCGACGTCGCCAATGCATCGCCGATGCATCGGCGAGGCATCGCCGATGTATCGGCGATGCGGCGCGACCCTCCGACCCCCATCTACTCCGTCCCCATTCAGGAGGCCCCCTTTTTCCTTCCCTCCCTCCATCCCTCCCTCTCCTTCTCGTCTTCCTCCCCCTCCTCATCCCCCTCGTCCTCCTCGTTCTCCGCCTCCCCATGTCCGAGGAGGAAGAGGTAAAGGTATCGATGCCCTTCCCTGGTTTGGACCCTTTGGGGTCTCTCATGTTCGGTTCGGAACGCATGCGACGGGGGCGCATAGTACCGGCACGTCTTTCTGCGTCCCACGGGAGGGGGGCAGCCAGACATCCCACACGCCTCTTCATTCTTGGCAGGCGGTATCGGCGGATCCCAGGCCTGCGCCGAGCCCAGGCACGAGCCGGGGTCGGTCCAGTCGCATTCCGCCGGACGTCCTGGTGGCAGTTGACCCCCTTCACAGCGGAGACCTCGTCTCTTTACGATCGGCATGGGTACGGAGAGAATGGGTGCGAGGACTAGCAGCATGTCCGGTGCATTTTCAGCAGGACTCGCAGACGTTGTCATTTTGAGACTCTAGAAGGCCGTGTGCCTAACAGCGGCCGCTGTTGGTTTTGGACAGCATGTGTGGTTGTTGTTGTTGTTGTTGTTGTTGTTGTTGTTGTTGTTGTTGTTGAACATTATTACTTCTAAAGAATAATTATTGTTGGGGCCCCTGGTGCACGGCCCCCTCGCCGCGCCTAGGCCGCAGCCATGTTTTCATCATTTTCGTGAGGAAGTCTCCGGCAAAACGGGTTGGTCCGGATCCGGTTGTTTTGTTACGGGCGGTTTTCCCTTGCAAAAATAAGGCAAAGTGGACATTTCTTGTTCTAACATAACCAAACTTCAAGAATCCCTTGCAAAAAATAAGGTAAAGTGGACATTCGCGCGCGCAAGACGAAATCCTTCCAAAACCTTAGTGTTCGTAGCGATTTTAACATAAACACATCAAAAAACCAATGGTTTTTCAAAAAAAAAAAAGTGTCAAAATTTCATCCCGCGCGCTCTTGCGGGTTTGTAGGAAACCCAACACTTTTTAAACATTTCTGTCAAACGGGTCGCCAGTGTAGTAGCCACGGTCGTCCGCAGGCCACGAAGTGAAGTGTCCGAACGTCATAGGGCGGGAAGCTGGGTGTGGGTGGTGGCGAAGAGTCGTTTGGAAATGTGGTAGAGCTTGAACCGGCCCCCCCACAAAGTGGGGGTATTGGCGGGCGTCGTATGAAAACCCTGGCACTGGTGAGAACGGAGTGTCCCCACGTGCTAGTAATTGTTGTTGTTGTTGTTGTTGTTGTTGTTGTTGTTGTTGTTGTTGTTGTTGTTGTTGTTGTTGTTGTTGAACATTATTACTTCTAAAGAATAATTATTGTTGGGACCCCTGGTGCACGACCCCCCCGCCGCGCCTAGGCCGCAGCCTCATTTTCATCATTTTCGTGAGGAAGTCTCAGGCAAAACGGGTTGGTCCGGATCCGGTTGTGTTGTTACGATCGGTTTTCCCTTGCAGAAAATAAGCTAAAGTGGACATTTCTTGTTCTAACATAACCAAGCTTCAAGAATCCCTTGCAAAAAATAAGGTAAAGTGGACACTCGCGCGCGCAAGACGAAATCCTTCCAAAACCTTAGTTTTCGTAGCGATTTTAACATAAAAACATCAAAAAACAATGGGTCAAAATTTCATCCCGCGCGCTCTTGCGGATTCGTAGGAAACCCAACACTTTTTAATCATTTCTGTCAAACGGGCTTTTGCGAGCAACTTTTTCGAACTTCTGCAACAACGGTTGCGCACCTGCCAGGGCCATCATCCCTGTCAAATAATACCATGCGGGACACATTCGTTTTTTCTTCGCGCGCGCACGCCGTCGTCGTCGGCCGCGGGGCCCTGAA